TGAGTCATCAAAAAAATTTTCAGAATTTGTAGGTAAAAATTTTTTTAATTTGGAAAAGAATCCATACAAAAATGACACCATTGCTTTTTTTAAACTAAAAGATTGTTATATATGAATGGTTGCCAAAGCTGAGTGCATTCAGAAAATTTTACAACTTCTTACTTCTACTAAGGTGGTTGCACTGATATATAAATACCAAACTTTTTTACTTTTTTAATCTGTCTTATGTAAAATCTGAAAATGTTTTAAATATTGTAATTATCTGTGATTACATCAAGATTTGTAAATTGATAAAGGAATAAGAGATTTTTTTTTCCATGTTAGTATTTGTTTATAAAATTTCCTCTAAAAAGATTTTTACTTAAATATCATCATTGTTGTAATGTTTTAAAGAGGCATATTATGTAAAATAATGTACATGTTATTAACATGAAATTTAAGAATTTATTTTCATTTATTGCTGCTGTGTCCTATTTTGCAAAAGTCTTTTTGTTTACTTTTATTTTAATATTGTACAGTTGATAAGAGGAAATTATATTATCAAGTAACCTAAATTAGTATATGCATCTTATTTTCATTCTTATGTGTGATGTATAAATAAATTATCACTCATGTAAAATTTTGTTTGCGATAGCAACCTATACAAATAATCTTATTGTATTGTAAAAATAATGGTTTAAGAGACAGGAATATAAATTTAAGGTTTAATTATATGCTTGTGTAAATTACAGATCAGTTGTACTTAACACAGACTTAATCATTTTGTTTTAGAGTACACTGTTTTTTAAATTGTTTGAGCTCTGAATTTTTTTTCTTTTTCACAGAGAAACAATTGAATTATTGATTACCACTTTCTTACAGCAAAAGACTGTGTTGTCAGTAATATCAGTATGCATCTTTAAATGCTCATAACTAATTTTGAAATTGCTGATTTCTTTTTTTTAAATTTTATTCCTTATTTTGAAATAATTTCAGAAATGAATGTCTGAATTGTGTTCTTCTGGTACTCCAAATGATGAGAAGTTAACATGTTATTTTTGTAAACATCAAGATATTTAAATTCACCTGTCTTCGCATCCAAAGAAAAGCTTGTGCAATGGCTAATACTATACTATTACTATTTAAATTTAGGCCTAAGAACTACCTTAGTTTGGTATAGATTTTAAAAAAAAACTCTGTTGATTTTGAAGGTTATTAGACACAGTTCTTCGGGTACTCCAAATTTTTTTTTAATATTATTTTTATTTATTTATTTATTCCAGAAGCTAATAAATAAATTATGAAGATTGGATGATTAACAATCATTTTATTTGGAAAGCAATTGGTGGAGCACAGTAAAAACAAATGTAGTGTTATTTGTCAAGGAAAATAACAATAAAATATGAAACAGCCATTGCATTTTCCCTAATTTTAAATGTTATATTGATGTATTTTTCTTCAGTTTGAAGAATGTACTTGTCTTAAGATTTAACACCAGTCTTGCTGACTCTTAAGACTGGCACCAATCCTATGCCACTATGATCTTTTTCCCTGTTTATGCTATCTGAGAATCTCATTATCCTTTTTCTGATCAGCAGCTTTTCAAAAGCAGAGCTGTCATCATATCTCTTGGTTTTACTGGAAGACTACTGATTTCTTGTCTTTTGGAGAACTTACAAACCTTTTGATTTTAATTTATTTGAAATTAGATGGTCTCTTTCAAATGCAGTTTTAGAAAAATTATGTTATGCTTTGATTATCCACTCAAACCTCCAGCAAAGTTGGCAGTTGTTAGCAACTAACTTTTTGCCAACCTAACATGTGAAAAATACTAGCCGTTTTAAAAAAGGCAACAAATTAACAAAGCTAAAAAGGTAAAAAACATCCATGATGAAACACTGGAAATTATATAAAACAAACTTCCATAACAAAATATTGAAGCTAACATAAAATGGCAACAAATTAGCAAAATTAAAAATGCAATGAACATCCACAGTAAAATGCTTAACTTTATTCCTGGTTTTCTGCCCATATGCATAGCACTTAAAGAAAAATCAGAGACTTGCAGAATTCTTGCCATCGCAGAGTAACATGGCACTAGGGGGGAATTAAAAAATTCCACAAATTAACTTCATGGAATGTGCATTTGTACACTATCTTCTATTATTACACTAGCATTTCAATTCTTTACACACACGCACACAAAAAATAAATAAATAAATAAAACCTCCACATATTAATCAGAACAAACAAAAACTATAAACATGACCCTCAAATTTAAAAAATTCATGTGCATTATGTGCTGTGTACTGCATGTGCAACCATTAGTGGGTTTCCAGATAAATATATTTTATCAAATTCTGGGTTGCCTACTTTGATGACATATTGCTTTGCCTGATGATTTTGGTTGTACAGATAATCAGAGAGTGCCCAAATTATTATTCACTGAGTTTCAAAGAATAAGAAAATGCTATAAAGAAACAATTGATGACAAGTTCGTAGAAAAGTTAAAGCTTTTGTCATATTATTGTTTGTTAATGAAGCTCAAAACTTGTCCAGTCCTTCACTATTACCGCTTTGTGAGTCAGCTGGTGGTATAAGATCATCCATTTCTTCATTTGTCATTTCATGATCATCATTCTTGCATAATTATTTAATTTCTTCCTTATCTGAAAATTTGCCCGTTGCTTTTGTAATTTGTACGAGTTCCTTGACTTCATTTTCAGTTGATTGAAATCCTTTAAAATTGTTGGTACCAGCAAGCATTCATTGTTGATGAATCCACTTGTCCCCATGCAAGTTTAATCATGTCTATGCAATGTCTTATGTTGAATCACTTCCAAACTTCTGTTAGTGTATCATGCTTTCTTCAATCTAATGCTATACAGTCAAAAGTCGTTAATTCGGACACCCATAATCCGGAATGATTTATAATCCGGACCTCAAAGCTACAAACTTTCTGCGCATGCGTCGCGTTCACGCATGCGCACAGGCGTTTACGAGTGCACGTAAGATTTTTACGGCTGCGAATATGCTTGTGCGCATGCACGTTTATGTGTAACGGACGGTATAAGTTAAGCTAAAATTATCTAATTCAGTTAATGTTGCAGATTGCATTGTTCCTTAATATTCGAATTGGATCCGGCTTATTATTTTTTTGCAGACTGTTAGAGCAATTTTATAAAAGTAAAAGTAAGCTTGAACTTCCGATTATGTCAAATAGAATTTCCGATATGTATTTACTAATATGTAAAGGATCTACAAAGCGAAAGTATGTTTCGAAATCCAAAATCTGTTTATCAGTTTCACGCCGCGGCGCGCAATGAATTGGAAGTTGATCTGTCAGCACTATCCTTATCTTCAGGGCAGATGTTTTTATTTTATTTGGCTTATAATTCCTTACTAAGTGTAGTATTTCATCTCGATGTACTCCATCTTTCATATGATTTAAATCAAGTTCCTCGTCATTATTCGCTTCCGATAGTGAAGAAAGTGACCCAGAGGTTATTGAAAACGAAAACATTTCGATTGACAAATTAGTCTGTATTCTCAACACAGCAATTATAGGACTTGAACAGCGGAACTTTGTAACTAAACAAGAAATTATGTCTGTTTAATAGAATTAAAGAGAAAGTATTATCACATGAAACGAAGCAACTTAAACAACTTACATTGAAAGAAATGTTTAATAAAGTAAACAAATAATATTAAGCTTTTTTCTTTTTGTAAAATTTTGATACCGTTTAGATCATAATTGTTCTTTATTTCATAAATTACGGTTTCATATATTTAATTTTGTAATTTCTGCATGCCATCTAACCAGATTTAAACTGATGATCTATAATCCGGAAAAATCGATAATCCGGAATCGCCGAAGTCCCGACGAGTCCGGATTAAGGACTTTTGACTGTATTTGCAGAAATGTATACATACCTGACGTTATAGGATTTGAATGTTTTTATGATTATTGCAGTGTGTTATGCTGAATTGCTTCCAGTTCTATTAGTATATCATGCTTTCCTTCATCTAATGCTACATTTTCAGAATTGTAAACATACCTGACATTATTTGAATGTTACTTTGTGTTAAGGAAGTGGTGTTCAGTGGAAAAAATAAAAGCTCTACATTTGTATACAAAATTGTGAGAACTTTAGTACTGTGTCCTGGAGCATTATCAAGAATTAGGAGAACTTTAAAGCTCAAGTTTTGCTGTTTAAAGTAATATTTGACTTCTTTAATGAATGAATTTTATACTTGGTCATTAGAAAGGACTGTCATAACGTGGCTGACGCTCTGCAGCATACTACATATGATACAAATTCTCACTTTGGACAAATTAAATGTAGACAATTAAGAAACTGCACATATGCGAAGTTGCATTCCCGAAGTCCATGTTTGGTTAGGGTTAACTGTGTGTTCATCTCTAATGTCAGTTATACATTTTTATTGGTCATGTTATGATTCTCTGGCCAGTAGATCTTTAAAAATCTTATACAAAAATCTGAGGTACAGAGGTCTGGATTTCACATTTTGTACTGTGTAAGGTTTTTACCGTGATCTATAACATCTATTCATTATGTATGAACAACCTTAAGTTATAAGGTATCTTTTTCTACCTCATAAATTATCTCCTTTTTGGTAGTAGTGTGTTTAGAATTCTCACTTGGCTTTCAATTTTTAAATTCATATCTCATGTACCAAAGGATGTACCTGACTTGATCAGCCCATAATCAGAATCTGCTTTCCTTCCATGTCAGATATATAGTCAACTGTATCATAGACAAATAAATGTCATATAAAGCAATCTTTCAAATAATGCAGTATATATGTAATATTAAATTTATATAAATGTTTTTGTTTTGTTCTATCTGATGTAAATTTTTATGATTTCTAAATACAGTAATAATATTAATATTATTTTTGATAATGCAGTATTTCTAATATTAAGAGTTGTGTACAGAAAATATATTTTTTTTTTTTTTTTTTTTTTTTTTATAAAACTGATGTGTTATTTTCTTGAGGTGCTGGAGAATCCTTAGAAAACACCATTGGTGCATTTGACAAGTAAGTATAACTTTGACCATCTATCGCATTTGTGTACATCAATTGTACAAGTTGTATAAAACAGAGTGTTTTTCCTTTTTTCTTTTCTTCCCCCCTCCCCCCCCCTATGATTTTATACTTAAACAATCTCAAATAGTTTTAGTTGATAGAATTGTAAAAATGGAAATTTTAATCTAATCAGGGTCAAAATCTGCCTAATACTTTTCTGGAATCCTGGGGCCCAAATTAACTTTAATTTAATTTTATACATTATATTGTTTTGGAAATAATAAAATTATTGGATTAAGAATCTCATCAGCAGGGAGTGTTAAAATTTGAAGTTTTCTCTCATCGTAAGGATTGCGACATCTCTTTCTTTGAACAGTTGTGGCAATATTATTCACAAGACAGAAGTGTTTTTCGAAACATAAATATGTAATTTAAAAATTTTTGTTTCTGTATTAGAGTTTGTATTGTGGACTGATAATTTCCATGCCATGTGCATAGAATGGGACTTAACATTGAAACTTAAACGCAATAACCAATACACAAGAAATACACAAATGTTTTGTACAGGTCTTATAAGTATATTGCCTTGTGGCAAGCATATGTTCGCAACTCATACTCTCCCTTTATTTCCACTGAATATTTTCTCTACTCTTCCTGTTAACCACACATAGTGCCTGTAACTTTTCTTCATTTATTAATACTAAGGTCCAAACTTTTATTTTGTTCTTACTGAATTGCCATTTATTGTGTTTTTTCAGATTATTTAAGTAATCTCTTTTGTAAAGTTTCCAGATCCTTGAAGAGAATTTGGAAACTTTTTCCCACTTGCTAAACCTATTTTTATCGATATCTGTAAGAGGAGTTCTGTGATAGAAGTGTTGGGTTTCCCGTTAAGAAAATCCTTCAGTTTTTGCTAAAATTGTAATGAATTCTTCCAAAGTAAAATGATAATTTTATGCTATTATTTTAAAATTATATTTGAAGGATTTTATGCTAATTTCTTATAATCCCCCAAAATTATGAGATCTCAGAGGGTAAAAATGCCAATCAGTTTTTTTCTCAGTGAAATATTGAACCAATGGTTTGAACCATTTTAGCTCAGCATCTGTGCTAACGAAATTTCATTCATTGCCAGTAAAAATCTTAGAGACCTTGTCTTTCCTGGAGAATTTTTTTTTCAAAGTAGCAATGAATCCTGCTGATGTAAGTCACTTACAAAGTGTATTGCTTTAGTAAAAATACACACATAAATTGCTACATGTATCTTATTCAATAGCTCTTTCCTCTGTCTTTTGAATTTCATGCGATAAGTCCGAAAACATCTATTCCGGTAATTGTAAAAGGAGAAGAAGGTTCTATGCATGTCTTGAGCAATAAGCCTATCAGCTGCTGCTCTCAAATTGGCTTGTCCTTTGTGTGTGTGATACTATTGCGAATCGTTAATCTGCACAAATGTTTGGCATTTAATGACCAATACCTTTGACACGTTATGTACAAATAGGCCTGTAACCCTACATGCAAATATTTTAGGTGAAAATACTGTACAGTCATGTAAGTTAAGAGATGTTTAAGTAAGGGGACAATAGGATGTTTAGTGTTACTGTTAACTCTAGAATTTTATTATTCATCCTCCAACAATTTTTATCAAGAAAACAATTGAGAGAAAATACTTTACTTTTACCCTTCACATTCGGACCTTTTACTAAGGCTGAATTTGCTTCTAAATACTCACTTTGGATAAATTTTAAAAGAAAAGATTCAGAATTGTTCAATTCTTGACATTTCAGATACCACTTTTCTTGTCTCTTAGATTTCTACACCTATAGATAAATCTGAAAACATAGCAAACTGTACGAATAAGTTTAGAGAAATTTTTAGTAATTTTAAGCAAGCCATTATGAAACAAAACATTTTGATTAGTTACAGCAAAACACACATCCCCTTCTACAGAGGATCCCTTTTTCAGTTTTGAAATATCCTATTCTTCAGGAATAGAATTATTACATTCAAACTGCGAGACCTCATTTTTTCTAAGAATTCAGGACCTGATCACCAAGCCTCATTTTTAACTGTATCCGGCATGGTGTGTCCAAAACATTCTTTCTGTACACACAGAAAAATAGAATGGAAAAGACTTTATAGGTTACTATAGTTTACTTTTAACCTTCTTAATTTATATTAGATGGCAGCACAATGCAAACCAGTCCATACATTTTAGTCATATTTACTTTTTAAAGACTGTCATTTTTCAAAGAAACCTTCCAAATTTTTTTATGATATAAAAGGAATTGTTTGAAAAGAACTTTTTATGTTATACTCTTGGCTGTATGTTGATCACTTTCTTCTATATTAGTTTCAAATTTTTACCTTGAAATCTTGCCTAAAATCAAACAACAAACATCTGGTGTGCCCAGAGTGGAATCACTGGGACCAGATCAATAATTGTATCTTTGTTTCACTGCAGTATTTTCTTCCGTGAGCTCATTCACAGTAGAAAAGGTAGGTACACATTTATGTGTCATTTCCTGTTTTCCTTTTTCTTTTTTTTTTCCCTTTACCCTTTTTTTTTTTTTTTCCTCTCTCCCTCTTTATTTATTTATTTATTGGAGGGGAGGTTTGGTTATCAACTAACAATTTGTCAGGGTGTTTTTCTGAATGTCAGAGGTAATTTTATCAATTAGTTTTTTGATTTTTCACTGCAAGAGTTTCTTTTTTTTTTTTTTTTTCCCTTTCCCTTTCTCTTTCATTGAAAAAAGTTTTGTTAGCTTTATATTTTGATAGTTTTGTGTTGTAGATGTTTATTTAATTTTATTTTATGACTAATATTTTCTTAACTGTAGATGCAATATGAGTTTTTTTTTTTTTTTTTTTTTTAGCCCAAAGGGACAATTTGCCCAGAAGGGCTATTAATTTTGTTTTGGCATTTTGTGTCGGTTTACTTTTCAAATTGTTGCATACAAGTGTTAGAGCCCTGCATTATATTTACAGGAATTAAATAATAAAGTATCTGCATAAATGCATGTATGTTTCTTGCTCTGTGAAAAAACAACTGTACCTAGAGACATCAAATTTTGAATAACGTAGTCCTCCATTCAAATATGAGCATCTGGAAGCCCAAATTTGAAATATGTTTTATTATCTAGTTCATATTTTGTTAAGCATTAAAGAATTTTTAATTAACAAACTTGATTATTTGAAATCGAGCAATGACAACACTGTATGTGAAAGAAAAAACATTTTTATCTCCAGCGTGTAAGACAGTGTATCAGAAATTCTAAAAATATGCTCTTTTAAATATTTGTGATATTGCAATGGAGTTGGATTTATGGTTTAAGTGTGAAGAACATGATATTTGATAAGGTAACACATGTTAAAAAAACGTCCCTTTGGGTATAACATAAAATCTGAAAGCTTTCAGATTTTTATTTTTATTTTTTTAATTACTTTGCAAATAGATTGGAGAGGGCTGACCATGTCTGAAGTGCTAAAAATGCTAAACAAATTGCCTTCAGATAGTGAATCCGATACTGATCCCCATACATACACAAAACATGCAATGTTTGGGTGGTGTCACTTGCTTTGAAAAGTACTACTGTGTAGAGGAAAAATACACAAAATTGTAAATATGAAATGTAAATATCATGGTGCCAAGTTACCTTCTTTCATTTAAACGCATGTGGTCATCATATAACCAAGAAGAGCTTTTTGGGGGGGGCGGGTATAGATTAGCAGGCCTCCCCGTGGTACACTCTAGGTAATGCTAAATCTGCTATGGTAATCAGAATCTAGAGTTTTTTAATTGTAGGCAAAATCTTTTATTTTATTACATACTTCCTAGCAGTGCTTGCATCAGCGCTCTTTTTGGAGCTCTATTCATTTAGTGAGCCTGCTTCGGGCACACCCACAGAATTAAAACGGTAAGTGCTATCTTTATAAAATTTCACCTGGGTACTCCTCTAGGCCTGATCTGACTGCTTACATTTTTTTGGGGTTGAAATTCCAACTTTAAAAGTTAGTGTGCTAGAAAGGGTTAAAAGACTTTCTGCACTAATCCAGCTGGTTACAAGGTCTGCTGTATTCAATTTGCCAGGTGTGTGTGACTATGATTGTTAAGAACCTGAGTCTCAGCTCCTTTAATCCAGAATAACATGATCTGGAAGTCTGGTGCAAAAATGAACTGTAGGTGTCCCTTTTCGTTTTATAATTTGTTCTACTTCTTTTACAAATCTGGCTGCGAGCAATGCATCCTTGAGTTTGAGTTTCAGTAGAGTCAGTTTCTTTAATAGGACATGCAACTTTTTGAAGCAATTAAGTTTGCTTAAATTTTATTAGCATAATTAACTCATAAGAAGTGTGGTTCCAAATGCTTTTTTTGCTGACATCGGATAAAGTATGGATTTTAAGTTGGTTTGGCGTCACTTAGGCTACACTTGAGGATCATCTTAGGAACTTGCAAGTTAATAATATCTAACACCTCAAACCTTCACTTAGTATATGTTTGGAAAAGATCTGTTGGAAGTTCTGAATCTTAAAAGCATTTCCTAAGTCACAATTCTTAGAACAGACATTTGAGTCTGATTGTGAATTGTATTAGAAGACTGAGTATATTGTAACACTTTCTTGGTTATTAAATTCAAACAAGTCTTTCATATCTGTAGAGATGTCATCTTTATGCACATACCATGAAAGACCGAGAACCTTATGTAGTTTATCAGTAAGATTGGCCTTTGAATGTAAGGGATGGGTTTTGAACCATTTATCTTCTCATGTTTTTGCCTGTTCCTTGTTGTCGGTAACTCCACTTACATCCTTACATTTCTTACATCACCCATAATTATTCTGACTTTATGTGACATCTGAAAAGTGGATGAGATGTTGTTGAGAGTTCTTACAAAGTTGTTAACCTATACACATTTATCGAGGATGCAACTCTTGAAACCTTTCAATGTGTTCCTTTAATGGCAGAGAGCAAGAAGAGACTGGAATGGACACCAAAGAGAACAACTCAACAAAATCTAATGTTCACTTGTACTGGAATTTTACTTGGAAATAGAAATCGGACTACATTCTGGTCTTTCTCATGGAACAATATTTTTAAAAATGAGTTTTTGATATCTGCTAAGATGACCAGAGCAATTCAAACAGAAGAAGATAAGCATGTTGAATATCAGGGGGTTAAGGCTAAGCTCAGTGTATAGACAGTCATTTAAGTCCATACTCTTCATGTGCAAAACAATTTGTTTCTTGGTACTGACCAATTCTCTGTAAACTGTTGAAAATGGCAGATAAAACAGAGACTTATCACCTTGTCATTTGGAACTCGTTCAATGATATGTTGTTTTTCATAATCTGTCAGCAACTCTTGATAATTGGTATACAGTTCGGAACACTTCACAAATTTTTTATTCAAATGATCCAGTTGTCTCCTGGCAGTTGTTAAGTTATCATTTAATTCCTTAAAATCATATTTTCATGGTAATCAAACTCTGTGTCTCCCTTCCTTGCAACATATGGAATTCCTACAGAGGGTCATGGCCCTAGTTTATCTGAGTGTACACCTTGGAGGACTTTGAATCTAACTCCCAAAAATTGTTGCAAACTCTCATCAATACGATCTCCTGTGAAATAATATTGGGAATTGTTTGGAGACATGGTGGGAATCAAACCTGTCACTGTATATCTGAAAACTGTTTCAATTAAAATGATAGAATTACAATTCACCAGATTTGGTTTCTCTTTAATAGTTAATAAAATATGTATGTTCATATTGTATACCCAAATTGTACTTTTGATTTTGTATCCCAAATTACTTTTGATTACTTTTGACCTCCCAGTAGAAGCAATATTTTTTTGTGGTAAATACATTTTAGGATCAGCATTCTTTATAATTTTTCAGCAAATTAAAATTTTTGATATTTCTTCAGCTGGCACATTCCCAACAGTTTTGGGCAAATTTAAAAGTTTAAGCTCCTTATTAAACTAATCTTCATTATTAGGCTATGCACATACAAATTTTTTCAGTAACTAGAGCTACTGTATTTTTTAGTTCAGTTAAATCTGACCTATATCTCAGTTTTTGAGATCCCGCTAAATTAGCTCTCTTCAGTTTTTAAATTTTGCATTGAATCTGAATCATACAAAGGATTAAACTGCTACCACTTCCCATTCAGTTGCATTAAATTAACAGCGAAGAACATTTTTATTTGTATTGGATAAAAACAAAAGGCATTTTGACTTTCATTAATAGAGCCATCTGGCACTTGGGATTGCATGGCATCTCATTCCAAATTTACAGTTTTCTTGCCATTTTGCACCATATTCAGTAATAAATCGTGTTTCTTTTTATTTTGTTTTTGTCTTTTGAGCACGAAGTTTGCTCCATGTAACATCGTACTGAGATTTTTATTACATATTTTACATTTTAAATGAATTTTCTTACATATAGACATTGTATGAAATCTAAAACAGTTATAACGCAGATTAAATTTTCTGACATATTTTAATCCCTCATCTGCATTTAAATCAACTACTAGCGGGCAAGCCCACTACCTCAGGGGATGGATGCGTTTGTGAGATTCGAAAGTTGGACCGAACTACCGGGCTGCTTACCGCTTTTGTTCGCCGGGATTCGAAAGTTGGACCAAAGTACTGGTGTTCAACGATTTTGCCCGGGATGCACCCGCTGTATTCACGTATGCATCCACAAGATACAACATGCACATTACACATGCAGAAAATCATGAAAACACCCATGCAGCCAAGAGGGCTGAAGCCCACTGCCTAAGAGGACAGATGCCTTCATGGAGGACTTTTTAAGGACATCTGCCTCGTATACACGTTAGACATGTGGAAAAGCACGAAAACACCCATACATCTGAAAATGGAATGTGATTCAATGCATCCTAACATTCAGTTATTTTTGTCATATTTCACTGTTTAGTGTTTTGAATTAATTCCCATTTAAATTTGTTTCCTTCCATACCTTTGTTTACGCTTTACAAAGCTCGGTGTCTATTGTTTATAAATGCTGTAATTTTTTCCCAACTCAGTAATTCAAAACCCAATTCCATTTTGTATAATTGCTGAGTGCCAGTATATGTTTGTTAAAGAGTTACATAAATAAATATCTTCCTAAAGAGGGTTTTGTGTGTTAATTCTGCTTGTTTTAACTATCCCAAATTACTTTTGATTTTGTCAAGTGTTTGCCTTAAATTAGATATGTATTCATATTTAAAGTAATTAAATATTTCATTAATATGAATGCATAATAAAGCAACTGTGTGTTATCAAAATATTTTTCAATGCTTTGAATAAACTATTAGTATATGTATCATTTACCGCAATTAGTCATTTTGCATTACCCTTATGTGCTGACTGAAGACAATATAATTTTTGTTATTCTGACCACAGATAATTATCATCAGTTAATGACATAAATTGTGCTTTGAATGACAACCATTCAGCATATAAACCTGAGGACTTGGGAAGATTAATTGACAGTAATTTTACTTTGCCAGAGAATGGACTACTTTTTAATATTTGGAATCAACCGTTTGAAGCTTTTGAATAATGTTTATATTACCCACAGACATTTGATCTCATGAAAATGTCTTTATTCTCATTAATTGTGATATACCCCATTTTCAATTTGAAGATAATGTGAAGTCTCTATTTAATCAGACTGGATCGAATTTAAGATAATAAACAGAAAGCATTATTCTATGCAGCAATGTTTTTTTATTGGAAAGGCAAACATCTGCATTCCCCATACATTTGCAACAGATGCATCAGTTTTACTAAACGTCAAGATGTAGCTTTATATTTTTTTACAAAATCTAAAGTCATATAGCACAGATTAAATTGCACTAAAGTTTCATTTACACCACTATGACAGTTATTACACCACTACTTTACATGGTATTACACCACTACTTTTAATGACAGTTAAAAATAATTATTTGGCTATATTATAAATTGAATTTCATCAACATCTGACAACAATTTTACTAATCTACTTTCAACTCTTAAAGAACCCCTTTCATAAGTTACTGGATTCAACCCAAACAATTTGGAATTTTGACACAATTTTTTTTACATTTAAAATTGTTCAATTTTGCAAAAATAACCACTTTATAACTTAATAACACATAGCATTACAAATTACATTTTTAGTCACAGGGCCTGTAACTTTACTCCGTGACTTTAAATTGTTCATGAATCTAAATATTTATGACATAACTTTTAAAATTTTGTCCAAGTTATCAAAGTTCTCTATCTTTAACACGGATTGTAGAGGTTGAACACACTGCTGGTAACATGAGTCACAACTCTTTCTTCAACAGTATCTGTTATGTTATAATGTCCATTCATTTTATAGTCTTCAACTAGTTTATTTCATCTTGATGTAGCCATGGAGATTCATGCCACCACACTCAATCTACTATTCCAAGCTTACTCACTCTAACACCACACGTGATTTTGTCAGCAGGATTGTGACAGTGATACGATTGTGATACAGCAGGATTGTGACATCCAGGACAGTGATACAACATACTTGGTGATGTTTTATCTTGAATTTCTGACACATGATTTTGTGCAAATGTTTTCCATTGCCATGGGGAGTTCTTTATTCAGTGAAGCACAATGTGAGAATTGGTCCACAAATATTTGCTTGAGCAAAATGCACACAAACTGTAGTTATAAGGCATGCATCTAACACTGCTGCCATGAGTTTGAGTCTAGATATTTTGAGGGGAGCCACTCTTCTCTTGGCTGTCATTAAACTTTCTCTGTCACATTTAAAGCTAAGAAATTTCACATACGTTGCTGCTCCATAAGAACTTTAAGATAAATCACAAAAACAATATTATTCCAACACTTCGAGCATTTCATCAATGTCATGAAAATACTAATGAGGTATTTGGATATTTGGTAGATCACATAGTTGCCTATACCATTTGTTCCATTTGCATTGTAATTCTGGTGGAAAAACTTCATCCCAACCAATGCTTTTAAGTCATAAATCCTGAAAATGAATTTCTGCTTGAATCATATATGAAGCAAGAAACCCAACAAGATGAACGATCTTTGTAGCAGCTTGCAAAACATAATTTGTTGTTTGATCATATCACAGGATGAAATGCGTAATATCTTGACCATTAGAACAGACAATATACATATTTGAATAACCTAACTTAATCTCTAACTGATTCTTTTATGTGAGTAGGGACTTAATTTTTAAGTTCTTGTATAAATCCTCTCTTAATGTCATTTATAACTTAATATCTTTGTTTCTAATGATTTTAATTTTTCCTCTCTTTACAATTCATTCTTTTTGTTTTGAATACTTAATTTACATAATCAAATAAACTTATTCTCCAGATTAAACTGCCTGAACAATCAGATAAATTGCTAATAACATTTTTCTTTCAATCACGATATATGTTATTCTTCTTCCTTGTATATTTTAACTGCTCTCGGGTTAGATATGATTGACTTAATTATGGGCATCTTCTCAAATATTATCCTGGTTATTTGGAAGGTGACTGTATGAAAAAGATTATGTAATTTCAATAAATATACCTCCTCCAAAAAATATATCTGTTGAAAAATGTATGAATATGTTTATGATATGTGAAAATTTTTCAAATAAGACATTAAATATTTATAGCCTTTCCAAAAAACTTTTGTGTGGGAATATAACAGATGACAGAATTATTTTATGTTACAAAATATGGTTTAAATATTTTCTCAGGTGATAAATATTAAAAGGATTTAAAAAGTAAATGTATTTTACCTACTAAAATTTTGGTTGCTTTACTTTAATTTTATTTTCTAGTGCTTTAAAACAAGGCACAGACATGCTGGAAATTGATTTGCATTTAACTAAGGATGGACAGGTTGTCGTATCTCATGATAATAATCTGCTTCGTGTAACTGGAGTAGATATGAATATATCAGACTCAAATTATCAGGTATGATATTATTAAAATTTGGGTTAGACTATTATGTCCATGCTTCTACACAAATTAGTTTTTACTTCACATCATTATGCTTAGAAGATATGTATTTTTGATAACTATTTATTTTTCTTAATATTTTGAATATACTTAAACTATTAGTATTTTTGATAGGACTTACCACCTTTGAAAAGACATCTGTCTAAAGAATTTTCTAAAGGTAATTAATTATATGCATATAATTTCCTTATTAGTTTAGAAACTTATAATCCACTGTTGGGGAAAAAAAAATGAATGCATCAAAAAAAAGTAAATCTGCACTAAAATTTGAGAATTTTTTTATAGTTAATTATTTAATGGTGGATTTTTACCGGAATCTTTTGTTTTATTCTCTTCCTTTTGATAGCACTCATAAGAGTACAGAAGTTTACATTTTTAAAAGTTCTTTTTTAATTGAAAAGAAAATTGTTGACTACTAGGATTGTTGACCACATTCAATCTACTATTCCAAGCTTATTAAGCTTATTAAGCAAAATTGTTGACCACACTCAATCTACTATTCCAAGCTTATTAAGCCAAATTGTTGACCATACTCACTCTAACACCACACGTGATTTTGTCAGCAGGATTGTGACAGTGATACGATTGTGAATTTTTATCCTACTAGTGTAACCACAGCAATGCATTATTGGGTTAATTTGTTGCGTCTTTTGAGTTTAGCTTTTTATTAATCTTGCAGCATTCTGAAAGGAAACCGTTTGATGTTTCTGTTGAAGAGAGACATATGCCAGATTGATTTTTGAAATGTATAAAATCTTTTGGGTATTTATATATGAATGTAACCACCTAAGTGAAAATTGCAATGAATGCGATGAACTCCAGCAGTCATGTATGTAATAATGCAACTATGTGCATAACAATTCTTCAAATTTAAATAAGCAATGTCCTCACTTTCATATGTGCTCCAAGTTCCAGTGATTTTTGCAGATAAATGGTGATATTTTCTTTCTTAAAATATATAGAATTTCGTATTTTGCTGTAAAATAAATTGTATGAGAACTCTTTTAAAGACTAGTGGCAAAGTATTGCTATGTTGATGCAAGTACCACAGAGACAGAGAAAGGCTGTATAGGACCCTTTTATGAATTCAGATAAAGGTTTAACAGACAGCACTAACTTGCGCTTACAGAAGCCAACAGTTATGGCTTAACTCAGAGATAATGCATTACTAAAACTAATGGAAGCAAGTTAGCCTAACGGCTGCACACTTAGAAAAATGCTAGTTGGCTCTGACCTAAGGTTGGCATAACAAGCCTTATGGTGATAATAACTCAACGTCGCATAATTATATTTGCAAGAAAATGAAATTAGCAATGTGGCCTTCAAGCAGGTAGAACACTCTCTGGTTCTACCCTCTAAACCTTTAAATAGTCTCTTCTTTCTTCCTCATTTAAACAGTGAACAGTGAACCTACAGCGAACAAGATTGTGGTAACATTTCTGTGGGAGTTGTCAAGAAATCATTAAAGGGAAAATTGTTGTCAGTTCTTAAAACACTTGTCATGAAATTTCCAATAAAACAATGAAACAAAAATCCACATGCAAGTAGGTTTATGATTGCTTATCAAGCTAAATAGTAGCATAAAATGTAAAAATGTGTGTAATGATTTTTTAAATGTAAGTTTCGGCAGGTGAGGATTTTTTTTTTTTTTTTTTTTTTCTTTCTTCTTGTGAGTGTGTGTAAAAAATTGTCATGCAGAGCCAAGAAAAAAGTTTAAAACTCAAAAATTCAAAAAGTTTAAAACTGCTTAGTGATACCACACATTTTTTTGTTTCTTTTCCTGCACCTTTGGCTCAATATTAAATAAAAAGTAATGACCAGGAACAAAAAAGAACATTCTCTAATTTCAGGACAAAATCTTCCACAACCCCACTGTGGGAGAAGAACATGTCCTACATTATTTTTCTTACATTCTGATTATCCATGCCCCCTTTGGTAGAGAAATTGCTTTTTTTTTTTTTTTTTTTCTTTTTTTTTTCTGCATATTTTGGAATATATATGCATGTACATGTGCTTCACACACGTTTGTGTGCCCATGAATTTATATGTTTCATCTTTAACTGTCATTTTGCTGAACATCCACTTACTATTAAAAGGTAATTGTCTGTCATAAAGATCTTTGCTTCTCCCCCCCTCATAATATTTCTTGTTTCTTAAAAAAAGGGATGCTTTCTTTTATCTTTTTTATCTTTCCTTTTATTTTTTTTTATGGATAGTATAGTACTTATGCACTGTAAAAATAGCCAAATAAATATTTTTCACCAATTCATCAAATTCGCAATGAGTTTTTTCCTTTTTGTGGTGGTGTAAGACTTTGAATTGCATTTTGATTTAATGAGATCAGTACTAGAAAACAGTATTTCATTGTGAAGAGCATCTGCTTTTGTGAAGAAACAGGATAGCTAGTTCTTCATTGCTTGGCAAACTCCAAGTCATGAAATCCTTTGTCTTCCTTTCCTCCGAAAAAGTGATTAGATGAAAAACAGAATCATGCAATTAAACTAACCAGAAAAAAAAAAAAAAAAAAACTTCAGTATTATAATATTATTGTTGAGCAAATACCCAAATTTTAAAAAAGGGCCAAGCCATGTGATCCTTATTTATCATATCCGTGACCTCAAACTTAAATGTTGAGATGATCTTTTTCTAAGTTATAAAACATTTTATTTGCTAAACTGTTATCAATTTAAACTAAACTAACTCTAATCTAAATATTGCTATTAGATTGGCTGTCAGGTATTATTTTTTATAGGGAATCATTCACATCGTATCCCTGTAAGATAATTACAATTTTTTAAACTAATAAGATTTAATGATGCATGGTGTGTTGCTTTTACTTTTTCTCATCAGTTAGCTCGGGAAGCTTCAGTGTATTAAATTTCCTGAAAATGATTTGTGTTTGCATTTAATTTAAATGTGTTTCAATAAATTAGTTTATCATACTTGGGTCTGGTTGTTTTTGATATTGTAATTTCACATTTAAAAAAATTATCAGCTTTTTTTTATTTTAATTTATTTCTGTTTCTTCACATTTCAGTTTTTCGAAATTGTATTTCTTAAAAATTCTTTAGCAAAAATTGTATCATTTATAATATTTTTTACATCTATTATGTGTGAGTCAACAGAATATTAGGCATGTATTTTTACATTTGTTATCAGTTATTTTAAATTTAGCCAGAACAATATGTCTCAAAAATTCAAAATTTTAAACTGCTTTTTTTACTTTTTTGATACTAAACAATTCATTTTATTGTTTCATTTCAAAAAGTACAACAATTCAAAAAACAGAAGGCGTGTCTTACCTTAATATTTTATGTTCTAGCCTTTATAAAGAATGAGGCAGACATACGTGCCATTCAGTAACATGTGTAATTGCTTCAGAAATAACAATAAATAAAACTAACTATACATATCTGAAAAAAAAAAAATTATGGATACAAAGATAAAATTTCAAGCATCTTGTTCAATGGCATGTTTTCAAAAAAATACTGATAATATGTTACAAGTTATATTCAAACTTTATTGTTTATTCTTCCAATGCTATTCCAATGGACCTTTCTGTTTTATGTCTCTGTAAGAATTTCTAAGAAAGTAATCACCATTTCTTGTAATGCAGAAGTAAAAGTGGTAAGGGTTATACTTCAAATTAAAAGGAGATGTTAAAGAACTACTAATGTTGCAACATTATGCTTTCTTGACAAATTTAGACGATGGAACTCAATATATTATTGCGAACAAATATAAATTAATTTCAATGCATTAGTTCCAGCAATAAATGTATTATATGTGTATATGTGTATTGTAAATATTTTTGCCATTATAATTCATCATTCTGTTTCTTTTGTAAAAAAAATCGCCAGATTGTGGCAAGGTTGTTGTGCTAATGTGGAAGTACCTTATTTTTTTCATTTTGAATACTGATGTTTATTATGCTGAAGAAAAACTATATAAACTCTGTATACTAAGATAGAAATCTTATGATTTGAAATTTGTAAAAGCATATAAAAATTTGTATATTTTAAATTTTACTTAACTTATTTTTTAATGTAGTTCATGATATTTTACAGTAAAAGATTTTGTCTGAGTTTGCCAATTGAATCCAAATAGTTTTTTTCCAATTTATTTCTTTCCTAAAGATAATATTAAGATAGTTCATTCATTTTTCAAGCTCATGTGTATCAATAAACCATTCAAGTAATACTGCAGTGGAAAATCTCATACCACCACACATAGAAATGTGTATTAAGATGAAATGCAATTTTTTATTCTAAAATATTGACTTAAAATCTAGATTTTTATTTAAAGTACCACCATTAAAATATTTATTCCTTATTGAAATCACTAAAAATGTGTTTATATGCATGCATTTCTCATAATTTTATTTTTTATTCTCTAATATGAATTATTGATATAACTGTATTAATCAAAAAGTATTTATTTTCCTTTTGTAGGTGAGCCATTTACTGGTGAGAAAGAAGCAAGAATACCTTTGCTGAAAGAAGTTTTTGAAAGATTTCCTAAAGTGGCAATTAACATTGATATTAAAGTAGATAACGATGTCCTCATATCAGAAGTAAATTTCTTATTAATAGCTTAAAGTATATGTATAAACATGGTTATGCATAAAAATTTCTCCGAATGATGTGTTAAATAATTTTTGTTTTAAATCTGTTGCATTTATTAATCTCAAAATCTGAATCTCCCAAACTCTTAAAAAGCCAATATTTACAAATTTCTGTTTGAAACAAAAATTTTGTTCAACTACACATGGAATCATTTGACAGAAAGTTGACAATCGTTGACTAAACTGGTTTCTTTCCTATGAGATCTTTTGATATTTACTACCAGTGTTTAGTTTTATTTCTTGCACAGATTTCAATGACAGATTCCAATAGCAGTAAAAAAAAGAAATACTCATACTAAGCAAAAGAAGGAAAGAGTTCCTGTCAAATAAGGCAGATACTCAAACAGCAATAACAATAAAAAAAAAAAAAAAAAAAAAAAAAAAGAATTGAAAACTCAACATGTCTGGAAAATCAGTAAAATGTGTATTAATATGATAGGAGAAAGTATTAGGTGTGAGCAGTTTAGTTTCTACCTGATTTAAGGGTGTTTAGGTGTCTTTTGCTGTGAAAGAGTTAAATATTAATTTTTAATTTTATTTATACCATTGTATAAAATAATAATTAATTTTTCGTGAAATTGAGTATTGAAGTCATAAATTGGCAAACATAACTTTGTTTGTGATATCATTTGATTGTTTGTGATATCATTTGATCAGTTTCTTCCTGATTTAAGGGTGTTTAGGCTAATACAGTCAAAAGTCGTTAATCCGGACTCGTCGGGACTTCGGCGATTCCGGATTATAGATCATCACTTTAAATCTGGTAAAATGGCATGTAGAAATTATAAATTTAAAAGTGTGAAACCGTAATTTATGAAATAAAGAACAATTATGATCTAAAGGGTATCAAAATTTACAAAAAAAAGCTTAATATTTATTTGGTTACTTTATTAAACATTTCTTTCAATGTAAGTTGTTTAAGTTGCTTCATTTTTTATGTGATAATACGTTATCTTTAATTCTATAAACAGACATAATTTTCTGTTCAGTTACAAAGTTCTGCTGTTCAAGTCCTATAATTGTTGTGTCGAGAATACCGACTAATTTGTCAATCGAAATTTTTTCGTTTTCAATAACGTCTGAGTCACATTCTTCGTTATTGGAAGTGAATTATAATGACAAGGAATTTGATTTAAATCATATCAAAGACGCAGTACATCGAGATGAAATACTACATTTAGTAAGGAATTATAAGCCAAATAAAATAAAAACATCTGCCCTGAAGATAAGGATAGTGCTGACAGATCAACTTCCAGTTCATTGCGTGCCACGACATTCCCCCCCCCCCACACACACACGCGAGCTGCGTGAAATTGATAAACAGATTTCGGAATGGTTAGATAAACAAAGGATTTGCCTTTATCCATTTTTTGCAGCAATTCCACTTCTTGTTTAATGGACTTCGAAACATACTTTCGCTTTGTAGATCCTTTACATATTAGTAAATATATCAGAAATTCTTTGACATAATCGAAAGTTCAAGCTTACTTTTATAAAATTGCTCTAACAGTCTGCAAAGCCAAATCCAATTTGAAGATTAAGGAACAACACAATCTGCAACATTAACTGAATTAGATAATTTTAGCTTAGCTTATACCGTCTGTTATACATTAAACGCGCATTCGTATACGTATTTTGCACATGCGCACATGCATATTTGCAGCCGTAAAGGTCTTACGCGGACGCATGCGCAGAAAGTTTGTAGCTTTGAGGTCCGGATTATGGGTGTCCAAATTAACGACTTTTGACTGTATATTATTATATATAAGCATTTGATCAGAAAAAACACTACCATTGTCCTCTTCTACTGACAATGAATTTCCATACTGCAATTAAATTGAGAGCTGGCTTATTGAAACAGCAGTGTTATAGGGAATACTGGTTTAATATGCTACCCTTTTAAGTTTTTTAAATTAATTTGTTTAGTAAACTTAGTATCTGATATGACATTTGAATGATGTTCAGTTAAGACATGATTTTTAGTTAAGTACTATATAGCATTCTCTATTCTGCACTGTTAATCTAGAGATGTTACCACTATACTATATTCTAGACCAGTCTCAACATGTTTTGCTCACTGCATCCCTAATAGCTGCATATCTTGCAAATGCTACTAACATTTGTGTATCTGCCAGATACACAAATGTTATAACAACTCAACAATAAAATAGCATAAATTTTCTGATATGTTCAGAAACATGTTGCATGCATTTTGTTATAAGCACGCTGTTGTCAAGAAAAATTATATTGTTGTAAGGAGCATATTTGTTGAGGTCAGCAGTCGTGCTTCAGTCTTGTTCTCTGAGAAATCCTGCTGTTCATCCACAACAGTGATTCTGGACACCAGCTAGTGTGGAAAGAGAGAGGGGAATTACTGGAATGTTAAGGAAACTGATCTGCATAGGCAGACATCATGCACAATGGCAGAACTTTTCACATATTTGGTGAAGGTACATTAACGTCATAGCAGTACTGTACTGAAATTCTGAGCTATGTCTTTCTTCACCATGGTTGGTACAGGCTTTCTATTTTATGGATGGCTGGGGCAGAATCCCTTAGGCTCTCATAGGCTGTACAAATTAAGGGAACTTTACAACAGTATATGTGACAGATGCCAAATGTACATGCATCTGAGGAGGTCACACCTCATACTATCCATCAAGCTGTTCTTTTGAAAACAGCAGTAAAGATCACCTCCTCTACCCTTTTTGGGGGGGCTGCTTATCCAGTTTTGCCATGCAGCAATATCTGTATGGTTTTGAATAATAGCAATACATCAGGAATTTCATTAAATATGTTCATGGTCTCATTAACTGATGTCTGGTATTAGTTCTAATGAAAAATAGCCTCTGTAGTGTAAATTTCATATAGAGTCAAAAGTCGTTAATCCAGACTCGTCGGGTCTTCGGCGATTCCAGATTATTGATTTTTCCGGATTATAGATCATCAGTTTAAATCTGGTAAGATGGCATACAGAAATTATAAAATTAAAAATATGAAACCGTAATTTATGAAATAAAGAACAATTATGATCTAAAGGGTATCAAAATTTACAAAAACAAAAAGCTTAATATTTATTTTTTTACTTTATTAAACATTTCTTTCAATGTAAGTTTGTTTAAGTGCTTCAGTTTATGTGATAATACTTTCTCTTTAATTCTATAAACCAGACATAATTTCTTCTTTCATGTTACAAAGGTTCCGCTGTTGAAGTCCTATAATTGCTGTGTCGAGAATACCGGCTAATTTGTCAATGGAAATTTTTTCGTTTTCAATAACCTCTGTGTCACTTTCTTCACTATTGGAAGCGAATTATAATGACGAGGAATTTGATTTAAATCGTATCAAAGACAGAGTACATCGAGATGAAATACTACATTTAGTAAGGAATCATAAGCCAAATAAAATAAAAACGTCTGTCCTGAAGATAAGGATAGTGCTGACAGCTGCCCCCGCCGCTGACCAGCGTGAAATTCATAAACAGATTTCAGAATGGTTAGAGAAACGAAGGAAATGATGCCTTTATCCATTTTTTTGCAGCAATTCCACTTATTGTTTAATGGACTTCGAAACATACTTTCGCTTTGTAGATCCTTTACTATTAGTAAATATATATCGGAAATTCTATTTGACATAATTGAAAGTTCAAGCTTACTTTTATAAAATTGCTCTAACAGTCTGCAAAAAATAATAAGCCAGATCCAATTCGAAGATTAAGGAACAACGCAATCTGCAACATAACTGAATTAGATAATTTTAGCGTAGCTTATACCGTCCGTTATACATTAAACGCAGATGTGCACACGCATATTCACAGCCGTAAAGGTCTTACGCGCATGCATCAACACGAGGCATGCGCAGAAAGTTTGTAGCTTTGAGGTCCAGATTATGGGTGTCCGAATTAACGACTTTTGACTGTATTTTAGTATTTGTTTTACAAAATAATTAGTATACATTTTCAAAAGTTCACTTTTTTCTTCTTTGTAATATTTGAGAAAATTGTTTTAAATTTTTAGGTAAATAAACTTATTAAGGAATATCATCGAGAAAACATTACAGTGTGGGGAAACTTCAGTAACAATGTTACAAAGAAGTGTTATAAAATGGTAAGTTGTCAAAGGCATGTAATTTTTTGTCAGAAATTTAATGCATCATACAAAAGTATTTTATATCTGTTTAATGTAAGTCTAAAACAATTTCCATCGTTTTAACAACTTCAGCTTTTTTTTTTTTTTTTTTTTTTTTATTATTATTATTTTCAGAATCCTAACATTCCCATTTATTTCTCTGCAAAAAGAGTTGCTATTCTCTTGATCCTCACCTACAATGGTTTGTTACCTTTCATTCCTCTAAAAGAATCATGCTTAGAACTTCTTATGCCATCTGTTGTATTTAAGTATGTATCAATTAGTATGAAATTCTGTAATTCATTTATCACATGTTTAAATTTTTGACTGTTAGTATTTTCAGTATTTAATGTATATTAATTAAAATTGGGTTACTAAACAATTTGTGCTGATATATACCAAGGCTGCACTGTAAATTCTTATGCTGCCTCTATTCTTGCTGTTCTATCATGGTTAGAATATTTTGTCTTGTTTTTGTTTCTATAACGATTGCAGCATCACAGAATAATATCAGTGGTGAGAATCCAATACCAACTAGTATGCAATTAAACATGCACTTGACTCGCTTAAGTCACTTTTCGTCTGCCCGTTGGTCAGCGAGTATAATTAAATTGTAATCCTTACTCACTCTTTTTCCCATGTAAGTGGCATTGTTATGGATTAAAGAGAAAAAATATTGTTAAGTTTTTCAACTTGAATCATATACACTCTACAGAAGCCATCAACACTTGCAAATATTCATTGTAGATATTACTTCCAATTACAAAAATGTTTTAAATAACACAAAATACTTTTGTGTTAGCCTTTTTAAATTTAAAAAAATTAGCTTTGAAAAAACTTCAAAATCTAACTTTTTATGGAGACCTTGGCCCTTACAGTTATGTTAGAAAAATTTTATTTACTATCCATTGGAAAAGGGGTACCGTTACCTCCAAATAGGTAAGGTTTCTGCTTTTTCATCCTCAGGAGGTACTTTATTTCTCTTCTGCCACCCAAAGGAAAATTCATGGAGGCATTTCCTATTCTGGCACTTGGGGATGCTCTCTTTAAGGACTACAGACTTCCCCGAGAGTTCTGATTCGTTGGCTAAAGAAGCCAGAGACCTTGAACAATCCAATTTCTTCATCGCACTCACTGATACAAATGCAGTAACCAAATATAGACTTTTGAGTCATACTTTAGAAGCCGCTTGTTGTTGACTTTGACTGCCATGAGAACATAACATCCATAATAGCTAATCCTTCTCATACGTCTTACCTGTAGAATATATCTACTGCATATGTCTAATGTCAATATGTATGCCAACTAATGTGTTAATGTGTTTTCTTATCTTTTACTAGAAATCCAAGCATGATGATTTCACGTGGTAGATTATGGAGTCCATGGGTAGTGTGGGTTATAGAGAAGTAAGTACTTTCGGAACTTGGAAAGTATGGTTTAGATTCAGAGAGTAAAGTGATTGTTGTTAAGAGTCTCTGATGTGTAATATTTTTACATTATTTCGTATAAGCCTAATGTATAACTGACAACTGAATATTCAATTTTATGTGCTAGATTAGTTTTTATGGCTAGTTAATAATATAAATGTTATGTAAAGAAGAGAGTCAAATGTTAAAAAGTTTCAGCACTGCTAGTAAAAGTTACCTTTAGGTTTGATAAAAATGTTGTATTTATCATAAATTTCATGAGAAACTATGTGGTCATAGTGTTCCGATTTTGAGAGTATTTAAGTTGAGTACTTTAAGCAACAGCATAGAATTTCTGCAGTTAGTGTATAGTAATATTTCACTAAAATATCTCAACATTTGTACATTACATAAACTTTTTTCAAATTGAAATGTGCTTCCTTTAAAGTCTTAGAAATATTATTTGGCATTTTATTATTGTTATGAGTTCTATTAGCTTTTAGACCCGAATAAAGTATTTCTTTTTAACTTCGTCATGTATAGTAAAATGTAAGTGTACTGAACAGGAATTATTTCCTCAAATAAAATTATATATAAAAATGGTATTTGAAAGAATACATTTCAATTTTATTTAGGTTACTAATGCGTAAAGCTTTGTTTGATCATCTTTCAAAAAGAGGCATACAGGTAAGTCATGAAAAAATAATAATTATAACATTATTTTTTGCTGTTAAGAATGATTAAATGCTGAAAATAATTAAATATTTTTATAGGATTGAAATGTTTTAAAAGTGTCAAATGGCCAATTTCGTATAACTGCTAATGAAGAAAGTTCATAATACTGAGATAAAATGCATGATTTTTTTTAACATTTAGTTGAGTGTATGAGCTTCTTATTGTCTGCTTGTGAAATTTGTATCCATTTTGTAAACTTTATATTGATCTTTAAATTTTTTCCCATGTATTGATCTAGAAATCATATACAGTCAAAAGTCGTTAATTCGGACACCCATAATCCGGAATGATCTATAATCCGGACGTCAAAGCTAAAAACTTTCTGCGCATGCGCCGCATTGACACATGCGCATAGGCATTTACAAGTGCGCGTAAGACTCTTACGACTGCACATTTGCATGTGCGCAAGTGCAGAATATGTTTTCGCGTGCGAGTTTTATGTATAACGAACGGTATAATCTAAAATTATCTATTTCAGTTCATGTTGATGATTGCGTTGTTCCTTAATCTTCGAATTGGATCCGCTTATTATTTTTTGCAGACTGTAAGAGCATTTTATAAAAGTAAACTTGAACTTTCGATTATGTCAAATAGAATTTCCGAATCGAGCTCCCAAAGATCGTACAAACGAAAGTATGTTTCGATTCATCAAACAAAAGTGGAATTGCTGCAAAAAGGATAAAGACATGGAATGTGACAGAGAGGTTAGTGAAAACGAAAAAATGTGATTGACAAGTTAGTCGTATTCTCGGCAAGCAATTAACGGGACTTGAACAGCTTTGGAACTTTTTTTCAATTAGCGGTTTCACATAGTAACAAAAACAACTTAAACAACTTACATTGAAAGAAATGTTAATAAAGTAAACAATAAATATAAGCTTTTTTGTAAATTTTGATAACCCTTTATATCATTGTTCTTTATTCATAAATTACGGTTTCATATTTTAATTTAGAATTTCTGCATGCCATCTTACGTGATTTAAACTGATGATCTATAATCCGGAAAAATCGATAAACCGGAATTGCCAAAGTCCCGACGAGTCCGGATTAACGACTTTTGACTGTATATGGTTTTTGAGCTATTGAAAATTAGCAAAATAATTTAGTGCACAGATTAAATTAATAAATGTTGCGTAAGTACAGTGTAATCATGATTCTGAGTTTTTCAAAAAAAAAAAAAAAACTTTCTTTTAATCCATTTAATTTAACACCTAAAAGTCACATCGGTCAGTCTGACTGATGGGCATTTTTATGTTCTGATTTTGGTAACATTGTTTGAGCAAAGAAACTGAGGGAGTTCGTAAACTTTACGTTACACCAATCAGAGCTTAAATTCCACCAGAGCCCACTGGAGCTCGGCTCCTGTACTTCTCATTTTATGAGATAAATTATAACTTTAACTGTAGCACACCGAAGCCCTAAATAAAAGGGCTCCAACACTTCTTTTATGTAAGTCAACTACAATTTTAATAGATATTTTGTTTTAATAGTAAACATGCTTTAAAATTGAATTCTAACTTCTGAATGCAGGCCTGTCTTTCCCTTGCACAGAAATTGAGACTTATAAGGAAAGAAATGCCCACCAATCGTATGTCGGATGCTTATTCTGCAGTATCTGCAATGAATTTATGTGAGCAAATTTTGTGTTCCTCAAAGTACTAAAACTGACACGCTGGTCGTGCATGTTCCATGCTAGTAACCTCCTATTGCAGAGCTCCTGTAGATTTTCTGAATGATGTAACCAAACAGGGGAAACCACTGCTGTCACTTGTACAGAGAAGTCTTATGTTTATTCTCATGTTGTTACCGAATCGTATTCAGGGCAAATTTCTGCTTGACAGCTAAAATTATATCGGCAGAGCATCACGATCAGAAAGTTCTGAACTCTTCCCTCTTTATTTCCAAAGCTACACTTTTCTGTTACAATTTTCTTCCTTATCTTCATACTGTTTCTAGAATTCTCACTATTCTCCTTAGTAAAGCTTTAATCGTTGTACCTTTTTTCCTTGGTGTGGTGGGGGAAAAAAGTGGTACCTGTCATCCCTTGGAACATGCACATATAATCGGGGCTTAAACTCAGATGGAGATCAGCTGAGCTGCTTTTTAGCTTAAGCCTTTTCTAGCGTGCCTTTGGGGTGTAATGGTCGGTAACATGTAATTTTTATCATGGTAACATGTAATTTTTATCATTTTATCTTTAAATGATGTGTTCTTGCAACAAAATGTTGAATTAATTTTTATGTGTAAAGTGTTAAAATACTAAATATTCATTATTTAAATGTTTTGTTACAGACTTACTTTTGGGTTTTAAATGAAGAGGAAGATTACAAAAAAGCCTTTGACATTGGAGCAACAGGTGTCATGACTGATTATCCAACAAAACTGCAGACGTTTTTGGACCAAAATTATGTACAGAATAAATCAAAGTGAACAAAACCATATTTTTATCTCACTAATTCTATAACATTAAGCATTATTTGACAGCTATCGATAGTTTTTCATTTGATATACTATGAAACATCTCATAGCGGCTACCTCTAAAGTAACCATATTTCTGATAACTTAATTATAAAGGGTTTCTTATAAAAAATGGGCTGAAGGCTGGTTGGAAAATTTAACATTTCATGCAGTGTTACTGAAGTATCTAAGGAGTAGTTACAGCTCAGAAGAAAAAATTCCTCATTTGAATGGGATATCAGAAGGAAATGTAGTACATCTATGTAAACAGGTTTCAAACCAATTTTCTGCATTGTGCATATAATCATTACTCTTGAGAACTGAATCATTACACTGAGATAAAACAAGAAAACATCAAAGAACAGTGAACTGCAGTGCATTTTTGATTGCACTGAAATTTATCTTTGGATTGCAAGCATGTATGAAGAATATTGCATGTCACTTGCAGTCTATATGATGCATTTTAATGAAGGCGTTCATCTTTGCAAATGATGATGGAACACCAACTCCCATTACAAATGGCATTGTTGCAGAAAGGAATGAGTTCATTAAAATCAAGATTGAATCGTAATAATAGAGAAAATCACTGGCAATGTTTGTTGGAACTGTTCACACAATGTTTACAACTAATTAAAGTTGTGTAAAATTTTCATTTAGTGGGTACCTCACAATTTGATTAAAGTAACAGTTCGTATGACTACATCTTGCAGTGTTTGCAACAATATTCAATTGAAATGGATGACTTATTATAGAAAGTCTCTGATGGGCTAAAGATAACTTTGAAAAGACAAGATTCAATTTAGAGAAAAACGTGAAAGAAAAAAATTTGGAAATGATTCCTAGAATAACTTAATGGACTTTTGTATAAGAGATTAGATACACCACATATATCCTGCTGGAATAAATTTTTAAGAAATAATAGTAAATAATTTTGAGAAATATTAAAGCATTTCTGTTATACATCTTTCAGTTTTTATTGAATGCTCATTTACGTTACCAATAATTATATTTTCTGAGACAACTCCTGTGCAGAAGACCAAAATTGTCTGAAACCATATGTAGTCATCTTAAGAGAGGTTTCATCGTTATATTTAGGATTATTGTGTTAATCTGAACAATTTTTTTAATAAGCAAAATGAGGGTTTATGTCAAATCTATTAAATATATCATTTTTCAACAACCAGATTAAGCAAGAAATTTAATAACTGGTTTTAAATGTTTAAAAAATAATGCTGAATAATTATTATTAATAATTCAATAATAGTTGTTAAATACCTGGTATGATTTTTATTAATAGTTTATTTAATAAAGTTTTAATATGATAAAATATATTATTTAAGCAAAAAATATGAACTAGTAGTATTAAAAGATTTTGCAGCTTAAAAGTTAAGTTTTTCATTGATTTCCGAAGATGATTTGATCTCCCTTCCATATCTATTTACCCTTCTGTTGTATCCAGTGAATAATTTGTTTTGTAATCTTAATTTTTTAATTATGCTGTTAAAAACTTTAAAAAATATTTTCTAAATGTTTAAGGGACCTTGCGTTATTACAGTTAGTGTTATAAATACTGAATACCACACTCCATATTTATGCATAGAGTATTCAGCTGTCTTAGGTTTTATTCTCGTTAGGATTTGAACTAAAGCTGATTGAATTGCTTTTAGATACTTGTATTGTTTTGACCTTATTATATAAAAAATATATTTTGGTCATATCTGGTTTTTTTAATATCTGAAGGTGAAAGCTTATCACTATCAAGATTCCTCGATCTACCAGCAGTGCTGCATTTACTGAGATATCTTATTAGTCTTCCCTTCTTTATTTTTAATTTTAACCGTAATATTTTCAAATTTTCAGAACATGTTATTCACTATTTCCATGAAACATTTTTGATTATTATATGTTTGTGTGTGTTTCACATTTAAATATATATTTATATAGTATCTTACATGCATTTTTATATGGTAAATATTTTTAAAAATTATATATAGTCAGTATTTTTGACTTCTTCTCTGTAGTGCACTGTTAAATCTGTTAATTGTTTAGTCCACTGATAACTATCTTGGCAAATTTTATTACTTCTGAACTTAGAACTAAAATTTGAAAGTATCTTAAGTGGATGTTCTTTAATAAAGGATGACAATAAAATTATTAAAGCAATAAAATTATTTAAAAAAATTATGTTATCGTATTGTTTGCTATCTAAGAGACTATGAAAGTCTCATTAAAATTAAAGCAATGATTTGTTCACTGCAATTAATGAAGAAAAAATATTTCATTTGTTAATTTTTGTTTAATAATTAAATATGCAGCAAATTATTTTTAAAAAGATTACCTGACAAAATGCACATCAGTAAAATTTTACATGTACACAGCACACAAAAAAAGGGGGGACAGTTCTATATCTCCCATTCTACTGGGCCAATGGACGAAATTCAAATTGCGTTTTTCGTGTCTCGAAAGTATGACTAAGGATGTATATTAGATTTATATACAGCGTTGTTCTAATATAGGTATTTTAACACAAAATCGGACATTTTCTGAAATGGCATGATTTTTTTTTTTACCATATCTCGATTCTGTGATTCAAATTATGTCTGAATGTTAAATTTTGTAATTTTTTCTGAGAAATCAATGGAAAAATTTAAAAATTTATCTTGGTGCATTTTTTTCAGTTTGTGCCAAGAATAATTCACTTGGCAAATTTCTTAATTTATACCAACCTATTTTCCTTTCCTTTTTTTTCATTGAACTCGAGGGGGAAAAAATTCATCGTTCAAAGTTTTAAATAGTTTTAAGTGCATAGACAACATTTAGCATTATTATCACTTAGAACAAAAATGCCAAATTTCAAAATGCGTCAATATGTAAATTCACTTATATTTTAGAAAATTTTGAATTAATTTTTGCAGGTATGCTTAGAAATACACCTACTTTGAGATGAAGGTAAAATCTTTATAGGTTATAACTTAAATTTTTTTTATAAAAATTGTTTGAAAATACAAATTTTAAAAATAAATCATAAAAAATGGGCAAATTTTATTTGGAATGAACCTAAATTTCGAAATGTGAAAAAAAGAATCAAATAAGCTTAATAAAAAAAGGAAGTATTCATAAATATATATCAAATTCAATTAACACTGATGTGCTAAAATTTTGAGAGCTAATTTTTTGAAAACTACTCATGCTATTTTTACAAAACTTGGCAACTTAACGTAATTTGAGTTTTAGGATTGAAGTATAGAAAAAAACTGTCATGTCATTTCAGAAAGGTCAGATTTTGTGTCAAAATACTTATGTTAGAGAATAATGCTACATATAAATCTAATACATATTGTAAGTTGTGCTTTCAAGACATGAAAAATGCAAGTTTAATTTCTTCAATCTGCACAGTAGAACAGGAGATAGAACTCCCCCCCCCTTTTTTTTCGCAGTGTATATTTAATGTTCTTGGTTTTATAAATACCATACTGTCAATGTGGAAAAGATTTTCTATGCATTATCATATTTTTCCTCTTTTAATTTATTATATTTCTATTATTTATTCTATTTAATATATTTCTATTATTCCCCCCCCCAATTAAAATTTTGCTAAAATCAGGTAAACCACAGAATCTGAAAAATAGCTGGTTAATGAATTATTTTGAAGTAATTATGATATACTGTTATTGTTAGTAAACTGTAGCTGATTATTATAATATTTGATAAATATATTTTAATGTTATATTTATTTCTTTTATTATCTTAGAACCAGTGTTATTCTATTTTCTTAATATTGAAATCAAAGTATGCCTTTTAGAGTCAGAGAAATACAATGTATGTGCAGATAAAAAAAATATTCCATAAATGAAATTTCAGAACTGCATAATTGATTTATATAATGGGTTTCCTATTTTTGTATCTAAATGTCAAATTGCTATGACTAAGTGGGGAAACCATAAGTTTTTCAAGTAAACAGTATCAGAAATTTATCTGGCCCGTTCCCCCCCCCAAAAAAAAAATTTATCATTTCTTACCTAATTTTGTACAAATATATCATTGAAACATTAATGTAATACTTTTTAGAATGTGAGATTTTTATGACAGAAGTTGGATTTCATGTTATATGTATAATTAAGAAGCAGCTTATGTGAAAATATATAATTTCCTTGTTATTGTAAATTCATGATTATCCACACCGTTAATAATGTTTAGAATAAATAAACCATATTTGCTGCCATTCAGGGTTTTGAATTTAGTAAATTTTTAATTTGATTAAGTAGATAATTTTCAAATCGGTGTTGAAATTTCTTTAAAAAAATATAACATAATAGTTTATTTTTGTGTACTTATTTATCAACTAAAAATAGCATTATTCCTAAACAATGTATTTCTCTGTGTGAATGCATAAAAAATTTGCTTTGGTTTCTGTCTGTTCATTACTTGCTGTTATTTTTTTTTTTTTTTTTTTTTTTTTTAATATTACATTTTTCATCATTTCCAGTTTCATGTGTGATCATACTTTTTGAAATCCAATCAAAGATACCTCAAAAGTATTTCAACTGTGTAGTTTATTACCATGCATTTTTACTTAACTTTTCTTAAAACATGTAAATGTTTCCACCTATTAATGTTTTATAAATTCTTCATTGACATATATTACTCTTCCTGGTATTTACTATGGCTGCTTGCTGTTAATAAAAAAGATTCAGAAATTGTATAGATATGATAATTAATTTTAACTATCGATAGTTTGTCATGCACCTTTAAAAATTCACATTTTAAAAGCACAATGCTAACTTATTATGAAAACGTATTTCTCTAGCGTATGAGCAAACTTGATATTAGACTTAGATGTTAACCTCTTCTCCAAACTTAAACCATTTACATTTCTTAACTTCACAGCCTTCATAACCTGTCTTTCTCTTATCTGTGTTTATTTTGGAGAATACGTCTATGTAGTAAATGTATTTTGATGATAAATGTATATATTTCTTTACTCAAATTCTTTATTTAATGCATTGAAAAAGATTCATGTATAAGAATTATAGCTCTTGTTCGAATTAATTCTGTAAGATTACAAAATTATAATTTACGTAAATAAATTACGAAAGACTCGATTTAATGTTGAGCATCCAATTTTATTTAAATTGTATTCATTTTTTTAATCAAGATCAATTTAATTATTTTGTGTTTTATTATTTACCTTCAAATCTAGTCAATTAAAGGGATTCTGTGTTTTAATGTCATCTTGCATAATTTTAAATCAAATTTGTACTTGATTTAGCTTTCCATAATAGTTTAATTATGGTTAAATTATTCTTGTATTTAATATTTATAATTGACTAACATATCATACTGTATTTTAATTGCTATTTTATTTACATTGTATTTTTAAATAACATGTGAAAACTGTGTTTTTTGCTATTTGTGTTTTATTAAAAATATATCTGGGCTGCATAAAATTATATGTAGTAACATAAAATTAAATGTAATTAACTATTTTATATAAAATTAATTGTTGTGCTCCAAGATAGTACTTCTTGAGCTGTATCATTCAGAAATTTAAAAAATATAAATTTTAAGATATTTAATTTTTTATTGTGGTTTTTAATATGATAATAAATTACTTTATTTTTAAAATAAGTTAAAATTCATTTTGAATTAATTGTATTAATTCATAAGCAAGTTGTGATAGTTTTATTGAGATTGTTAATCAGAGAATGTAAGAAATACTTGCCAGTGCCTATTTCAGATTTATGTGAAATTAATTTTATGTTAAAATGTGTGTTATGATAAACACGCTATTAAAACTTGAATTAATTACTTAATTGTAAGTAAACTCATTTTTAGAATGAGTTTAAAAATTCTGTTATGTCTAGAATATTGAAACCAAATTTTATGAAAGAAATGATATTTAAAACTAAATTTAAAGTTGAAACATATAAATATTAATATGCATTTGCATAATATTAAAG